GTGTGCATTGATAGTACATCGAACTCCAAACCTACATCCAGTTGAAGACTCTTATGTTTACCTCTGTGGGTGGGGGGGGGTGGGTGGAGGGAGAGAAATGCAGTACTTGAAAGTTAGTGCTCTGTGATTTTCCATTAAAAGCGTCTTTTCTTTTCAAATGAGATGATTAGGAATTTCCGCATCAGTCCCACTCATTCTCAAGCAAGCATAGACAGGATGGGAGAAAATTAGTTAGCTCTTTATGTAATTTGCATCGGGACAAAAGATTATTGCTTGAGAGCGATTGGGAAAATCTTTTTGGTGTGCCTAAAATACTGTCATTGATCACAGACAAGAGTTGAGCGAACTCAAATCGATCCATTTCGATTTTTAAAGGTGGATTCCTCCCACCAGAAGAACTAGAAAGAAAGAGAGAGATTGCGTTGGCGGATACATTTTGAGTCGTCCGTTCAGGTGGAGTTTCGTGAATTCGTGTCAATTGTTTTAGAATTGCAGAATTCTAAAGCTTTTCAGTCTCATTGAAAATTATCGAAACATTTGTTCTCGCCAGCGCGCAGTCCTCAATGCTCCCATAAGCCTTATCGGTCCAAATGATTTCACTTTTACCTGTGATGAGGACCAGGCGACTGGACCACCGGATTGCATAGCATTGTCCAGCGGTAGTGAATTGAATCAGGCTCTGTTGTGGGTTATCTCCTCCAGAACAGAAGTTATCCGAAGGGAATTTAACCACACCTTAGGTGGTTGCATCTTCCATATTTAATCATAAACTACGCAAGCAAAAGAAGATGGGCCCGTCACTGCTTCTAGCATGACCTACATTGTGCATTCATTGAAGTCTTTCCACGACCCCACTCCGCATTGTTCTCCGCATACTTAGATACCACTTACCTCTTCGTTTTCCGTTGACTTTTCCTGAATGCATCACATTTCAACTATCACAAATAGTTTCCATGCAATGTAACTTGTTTACCATAATCACTCTGTTCTCTCTCCTCTTGGCTTGGAACGCTAATCCATACTCTAATCAACACACTCCGTTTGTACGCCGCTTTTTGGTTCTGGATCCGATTTGACCTCACGCGATATATCAAAGAGAACATTCTTCCCTCCTTTTAACGAATAAACAATGATACAATTTTCAGGAACGAGGAAGCGGTCAATCAAAGGGACACCATGCAACATACAAATGGGGAAGTCGGGTGACGCGACTACCGGACCACCATCGCCCATGGATAACTATACAACTCCTTGTAATTTTGATCTTATCAAATTGAGGACAATAGCGTGAAGTTCATCGTCTACATGTTTTTTCTTCACAAAATCCACGGTTCTTGTTGATATTATTCAAAAAAATTTATTTTTCTCCATCCTAAGTCGGATAGTTCGGAAAGTATTATATTCTAAGTTGCAAAAAAAGATTGAAAGCCTCCTGTGAAATGAACACTGAAGAGGACACCAAAGTAGTCTGGCAATAGTTCCCCCGTTTCTCACGAGAAGGTCACAGTGTATATTTGTAATCACTGATTACCTCGATCACATCCATTCCGAACATCTGCTTCTTGCAGTTGGTTTTCTCCTTAGATTCCTCAAAGTTAGCCGTGCCTATAGTAGCGGCAAAATTCCTGGTTTTCCCTTAGGTTACATTTTCTACCAGAGAAAAATTTCCAACATCGATCGCACACCCACATGAGCTATCGGTGAACAGTGTCGTTCTCGTCACTGATTTTGATTATTCATATTTGACTCACAGTCACTTGTGATCATTTTTGTTCTGAGTAGAAACCTATTCCTAATGAATCAACAAATTTGATGTGGTCTTTCAATAACTCCTCGATACACCAGTCTCCAGTGCCTTTCTTAATAGATCAAATAATATTGTCACTAGTTCAGCAAATTTGTTTCAAATATTAACCTTCCATTTTCTCTGAATCACAAAAGTGAGTGGTAATCAGCTCCTATAGCTATATGATTTCAGTACTTCTTGTCTCGGGCATCAAGTAGCATCCATGTGGTGAGTTCCCAAAACGGTCCACAATGCCGTAGCGATCAATCATTTGCGACTGTTTAGAGACCAGGGTCATGGTTAGTTGACAAAAACAATGGGAACATTCTTGGAGGCCGTATTTATTCGAAGCTGTTGTATTTCAAGGTGTGTCGAACCTTGGGAACATTTTGAAAACTGCCACTTTTTGAGAGTGCGAGACATTTAACAGACTGCATACCCTGTGTAAGACGAAACCCATTGCGTGATCCCCCTTTATTGCACTGTCGCAACAAGAAGTTGGGTTTCGGAATGTGTTTGGGGGGTTGCGTCATAGACCTGGAGGTTGATTCTTGGATGAATGAGGTGAGGTGCGTGTAACAAGCTTTCACAGATAGGTTGTCATATCGTGTGCATAGACAAAAACTTGAGCGTATTTAATTGTTTTCTGAATGCATCACCCTTGTTCACTCGATGAAACTACAGAGATCTACTACGAGATGGGAAGCGGTTAGTCCCACCGCATATCACTGCTCATTCATGAGATTCCAACTCTCGTCTATTCATTTAAATAGAATACACAATACGGAATAGTACGGGCAACATTATGATCCCATGTTTGACGGTTATCACTCATTTTTCGTGGCGCATTTAATTTTAATTCAACAGTTTATGATGTTTCACAGTTTCCGTCGGTGGTTATCCACTGGTTTAGGGCAATACTGTCTCGGGTGATTCGCATTAGGTAAGTTACAAGTAAGAAACTTCTGCCATTTCGTTTTTATTTGTCTGAATGGGGACGCAATTGTCGGTTTGTACATTTTGTTATTGGTGCTGACGCTGCGCTTGACGTTACTGTTGTGATAGTGGTCGTGGTTTCTGTTATAAAAGTATCGCTACAGTGAGACTATTTAATTGCTCAGAGAATGGTGAATCTGATCTGCCGTTTGATGGCTAAAATACTGATGCATACTTTTCCAATCTCACATACACCGTATGTACAGACACACACACACATACACACACAACAATATGCTATCGTGTCCTGTGAGGAAAATTGCTCGGATAATTATGGAACGAACAATTATCTTGGTCGTGATTTGCCCATTAGAATTCGCGGATGCGTGTTATGGAGAAACGGACTCCCTCCTCACCACGATGATGAGTTACTCCCGCATCAGTGTGCCCCGGTTGTGTCTACTCCACCCGTGCTCTATACTCGCGCGCGCACATCCAACCACACGCACCCACAGTCATTCGTGATTTCCACGCGCCTGCTCCACTAACCCATTTTATTTTGTTTGTCACTCGCCATATGGTCATCCCAAATGGTGTGGTTAAACTTGGCAAATGCGAAAGTGGAATACTTGAACTCTATTTATGTATGTTTGTATGTATGTTTGTAGGGTGATTTTTGTAACTATTTGGTAGCTAATCGACTTACTCCCAAATATGCATGCATATCTGTACTTTAGTGTACAGATGGGCTGGAGAACAATATCTGGAAGCATGAGAGTGCCAGAATACACACGCACACAAACCCAGTGCAGTAGACATGACATGGCAGTACAAGGTACAATGTCGGTTGTTGTTCTTTTCCCCTCTCACCCCACCTCACCTCCTCTTGGGTGTGAGCGGGGCGGTGGAGGGTGTGATCCCTCTCAGCTTTGGTCCTAATAGCCGCATCAGAGTGATCGTTGCGCATGGTCCACAACGCAAACGTACGAGTCACAGTGGATGAGTACGTGGGGGACAGGAATGCAATTAACGGGTCCCGAGCTATACAAGGCTGACATGGAAATTGCGTGGATTGGTTTGTCGACCTCTGATGCGCACCGGAGGCTGGTTGCTCACTTGTCAGTGGACTGGGGCAAGTCAAAATCGGTACCGTTACCACAATCGTGATAACAATTAGGCCGTGTTCAGGATGAATAGTGAGTGAATCACGCTAAATTTCCACTTGAGCAACAGTGTGCGTGATTTGCACTCGAAGCAGAATCAAGTGTTCGCGTGTCTAGTGGAACGAACGAAGTTCGTGAAACAGCTAATTGCCCAGATGGAAAATTTCGTCCCTTAAAGCTGGAAAATGCACTTTGAATGCAGAACAGTGTTCAAACAAGTACCCTGGGACAAAGTGTCGTGGGACTGAATCCGAAGTTATAGAAATCGGATCAACTTACTAGTATGAATGGTTGAACAACACAAGGATTAATTCAAAGGTGATCAAAGCACTTGGAACTTCGTATTGCACGTCCACTTTGTTCCGTAATTCACGATAATTCACGGAAATGCGTGACTGAATCAGCTCATTTATCTAAGTTATCACAAACTAATTAGAGATTAAGTGACCCGGCGTAGTATCCAAAGCACGTCTATCATCCAGTTTTTCAATTGGGCGGTGGTGGCCAAGTGGTTAGGTTGCCAAGTTGTGACCCGAAAGTTCCGGGTTCGAACCGCTCCACCGCCGCCCATCTTCCCTATATCTGTATTTCCCCAGGTAGCCTTTGTACGGCCAAGGCCCCCTTCCTGAAAGCTGATTGTACATTTGTATATTCAATTAATTGAAATAGAAGTAAAAAGACATTTGAAAAATTATTGCTGTTGTTGTTGGTAATGTTGGTGATTATGGTGGTTTCCAACGCAGATGATCAAATGATAGTCAAATACGTACTTCAAAAGCCATCGGTTTAATTCCTTTAATTCCGTTTTTCTTATGAGTCTACAGCTACATTAAGTAAAATTATTGCTCTCACCCTGGTTCTCGTTTAAACTGCTCTTCTAGTTTGGTGAATGGTGAAAGGGTGAACAACAATGAATCGGAAGAAGAGCGGTGTCTCTGTTAACAGGCACACAGGTGTGGCGGACGAAAACNAAAACGACACCCGAGACAGTATTCAGTACAAACTGAAACGAACAAGGTCACGGCTACAGCCCGGCATACGATCCTCAGCAGATTAAGAAGCCAATTTTGATAATCCTACCTAATGGTTGTCGATTGATGCTCCATTCTCAATCCAACAGAAATGGTACAACCAAGAAGAGGAGCACCACTGACCAACGTCTGTTTGAAACTGTCAGAGGTTAGTTAATAACATGAATCGTCGTGCATCACCCTGCTGCGCAGTCGAGAAGTAACTGTGAATACTCGAACTTACACATGACTTACATTCTGATCAGTGCATGTTTGTTCATCAACCAGCCTTTCTCTCTAGTTCACTCACGTGTGCACAGAAAATGAGAGAGTGTATAAATTATTAAGCAACCTGTATTTGAAGCAGACAAGAATAAGATGGGAAAGAAGTCAATTTGGGCAATAGTCTGAGTATGCACATTGGGTTGGCCGAATATCAACCCTCTCACAAGATCCCCCAAGTCAAATAATGCCGCCTGTCGAAAGCATTAGAATGATTGAGATCTTTCCGGTGCTCGTCCGGCTATATCGTCTTCTGATCAGGCAATGTGGACTAACCTGAGTTCTTCCGTTTGTTGTTTTAATTCTCCCGTTAAGTTTGCTTCGAGTATAACAGTGTACAAGCAGATTGTCCGTAAAAGCATTTCGGTGTCTGCGAACCGACCCCGTTTGTTGCCGGACAGGCGGAGTCCAAATGCCAGCTCATGTGCCCCTCATAGTCTTGGTCGAAAGTCGGAGCTTGGGACCAGTGGGCAGAAAACGAATCCGTGACATTATCCTGGACAAATGCTTGCAGGGAATTGCTAAAACTATTCACGCGTAAGCTGCACTGCTCTTTGGACTGGGACAATCGCGTTTCTGAATCACTGGAACAAAAGGTCCCAATCAACGGCTCTCTGGGGGCACCGTTGTACGGTTCAGAGTTATGATAAAGATCACCCACTGGAGGTGTGTGAAGCATTGCTCTACCACTACTACTAATACTGCTACTACTATTATTATTATTGCCACATGCACTACTGTCTGTGGTCCATGGATCAAGCCAGGTGGCAGCATCATGACTGGTATGAATGTTTGTACTGGTTTCGGACATAGATAGCACCGAGCTGGAGCTTCCATTCCAAGACGTGATGAACATGCTGCTTGAAGTATTCGAATCTGGGAGTATGTGTGAATTTGCTATACCGTCGTTGAGTTCCGTATCTGTTAGATAGTCATACCAATGGTTACTATTCTGGAAAATGGGTACCTCAGAATGGGATGAGCTCTGCGGTTCCACAGGTAGAGGATTTTGTTTAGACAAGACCGGTACTTTTGTGTGATCGTCGTCTTTCTTTCCAACTCCATTTTGTGGCAGCGGATTAATGTGCATTTCAGCCTCAGATTGCAGTTCATTTGCTTCTCCACCATGCTCATATCCCACAGATATCGAGGACGAAAAGGACGGTGTCACGGGATTGTAATAATGAATGGTTGCGTTTAAAACACCACGTGTCGCGTTGGTTTCGAATGAGACATGTGATTTCGACTCGCTCACGGCAGATTCGGTGACGGGAATTCTCGTTTCGACCTCTGTTTTCGTCTCCGATGAGGCGGGACAGTTTCGTTGCTCATCCTCTCGACGTTGTGCGGACCAATCCTTGCTCGAACCAGAACTGTCCGTCGGTGGAGAAGAAGCGTTGAATTGGTCTGCACCGGCCGAACTATCAGATCGATTCAACTGCCCCTGATCCTCACCGGGGAAAGCGAGAGCAAACAATAATTCCGGTTCATAGACAAATCGATAGACGTATCGTTCGCCCGACACTTTTTGCATAATTCCCTTCTCATAATAATAACGAAGTGACCGACTCAGTTTGTCGTAATTCATTGCTGGTCGATTTTTCTGGATTCCCCAAAGTCGTGCCACCTGAGAATAAAATGGGACAGAAAGCAGCATTGCAGATCTATCTTCAGTGTGATTGGTCGGTTAATAGGAAAATGTTGTCTGAGAACTAGAAACCATTGTATACTGAGTTTCTTTTGTTGAGGTCAGAACCCAGCCATCGATAGCAATCATTAATTGCAGATAAGTTTTTTTCATCGGGCTCGATATCATGCCTATTCTTCTTGGATCTATTGCGGTTGGCTACTGCAAACCCGAGGGTATGAATTACCAGTTATCGTAACTATTGGGTACCTGTTTTCCACCATGAGTCTCACTCAATCTATTGTTGGTCAGATTAGGGCATACAATTGGAAATCTCATCGAATATGAATGAAATCAATGAATACGACTCATTTTGGACACGTTGCGATGGAAAGGCCTCTACAGGGTCCAATGTACAAGGCAAATTGATCATACGGTACTCCATCATTACGGTTCGAGGCCCCCCAGTACACTGCTGAGGTTTAAGAAGAACAAAAACAGTAATTAACTACAGGCCTGTTTTTTCTTTTCTAACTGGGACCAATTGGTTTGATTCTAAGTGAGATATTTTTCATTAACCATAATCTGAACTGAAATCAATAGTACGCAGAACAGAACCGTAACTTTGTGCATTATTAATCAATTAACCAGTTGAGTGCTGTGCTACTGTGATTGGTATAAGCTGTGCACCATGTACGGAAAATACGTCTTCCCTACGAAATAAATGATTTCCATTGGTTTCAAATCTACAAGCTGCTAAAAGATGTGATATTTTACAAAACAATAGAAACCACGCCAAAGCTGAAATAAATTCTTCATTTGTGGAAGATAGAAGATTTACTAAAAGAGTGGGAAATACTGCTCAACTATATATAGTTCAGTCCTATTGGATCTCGCTGATAAATTGGGATTTTAATGTAGGTTAATCATCCTCCTGAATTCCCCACTCCACGGACAATCTTAGCTTGTCCGGTCAACCATACGCTTGGGAAGCAATTGACCCGAGTTTGGCTCCAAGCGGAGCATGTCAGCAGTGTATAGGCACCATTCAGTCCGGATTTTGCATTCCTGATTCATCACTTGTGAGGTTTATGTTACCAGCTCACGCCGGAGCTGAACACAATTTCCAGTTCAGAGATCGTCTTCAATGATAGTCAGTCAGTTTATTTTTGATTCGACAGAAACGAACGGAGAGATAGTTGACTATCTGCTATCTCCAATCTATGGCCTCCCACCAAATCAGGTCTTCTATGCACATTCAGGCTGATTGGTTGACAGAGTGGTAACACACACGCCTTCCATGTGATGAATCTGGAGTTCAAAGCTTGAAGCGTATGGTGAATATGCACTACTGATGAGCTCTAATGAAAGTGAAACTCGAGTTTATTGATTCAATATTGTGTGCATGAAGGTGAAGTTTGAAGGATGCTCAGTTTAAGTCAATATCAATTATTTCACGCCACCAAGCACAGATAACCGAAATAAATACGAATTCGGGATCTACTGATCAAACACAAGACGGAATTTGGCATTGCAAAGGGAAAATATGCATGCGCAGTACTCCACTGATCATCAGGTTATTTGATCGATTAACTTCAAATTATCCACCCATGATACAGTATGAATCATTCATGTTACCATGAGGTGAGTTACGAAGGGTTTTGTGATTCTATGTGCGATTGTTTATAGATATATTGCATTACTTCTCTGCAAACATTCCACTTATTACTGCAAAATGAATATCGATTTTTAGCTACGACTGTTTCATTCCAAGAATTTTTGAATGATTTTGATAGTTGACTACAACCCATCATTGCACAACGACAGATATTTCAAACTTGTTTGCTGCAATCAGCTTCTGATACGACGTAGTTCAGTCCAAATAATTTCTCTTTATCGAAATAGGGATTTATCCGTAATGCACCATGGTGATTGAGGACAGTATTCCATATTGTGTAAAAACAGATGAAAGTACCTTCATTTGGGCTTTTATCTCCTAAGAACACTCATCATAGAACACGATGCTCACCTCTTCCGGTTCGTTTAACTTGAATTCCAATGTCCGACCAGTCCAACAAATCAAATGCTGACTCTTCGCGTCGTCCAGCAACGCGACAAGAAATTGCCACAATTGCAATGATCCCCGATGATGAAAGTTGGCCAGAGCAGCTGAGGCTGCAGCGACTACCGGATCGACTGGTTCCGGCTCCGGGCCGATCTCCGCTGACGGTGTGATCTTGCGCATCTCTGTGATCTGTGTTGCCATACGACCGGAACCGTTCGAGGTCGAATTATCCGATCGTGCTCGGGGTGATCGAAATTTGTCCCCACTCTCGTCTTCTGTCTGTTCCGAAGGGTTCTTATACACAGTCAAATTGTTTGTTACCACGGAAGTGTTACTCTTAGCTTGATCGGAATGATCTTTGACAGGCCTATCCACCACGATGGGATGTTCGGCAGTTTCGTATGGTGATACATTGAAACCGATGGACGAATAGCACACTGTCCCACCGGGATTACCACATGATTCGTAAATATTTGATGGCCCATAAACCGACATATCTGAAAAAGGAGAGCGTCGGAGTTGTTCTTAAGGGGGAAATTACCTTTGGATGAATAATACACACTCAGAGGCATCATATCTCTGTGTTTTGTGCTGCTTCTTGTGTGCTACATTATGCAGTCTCCCTAAACGAAACATACCGCATGAAGGTGAAAGAATTTTTGGTAAAATAATTATTTTCCACACCAAACCCAAGACGAATATGATGCGATGGGGATTTACATGACCTGCGCACTGCCGCTCAAGTGACTAAATGCCCTTATTCGTTAGTACAGAGGAGAAAAATGCTGTGGGATGTTAATATCTCTCTCATTCTCCTTACATTGTTTCAGTGTTGAACAAAATTACGGTCAGAACAGGTAATTTCGTCGGAAAACTGTGAAATAACGGACATGATTTCAGGGAAAAAGTTGGTTCCGTAATCGGCCCACCAGTGAATTGATCTATTTTACCGGAACATTTTGCGCACTCAACAAGAAGCTAATATAAATTGATTAGCATCACCGCACTGGATACTAAAAACTTGAGTCTAAGTTTATGTAACAATGATTTGAGGAATATTGCTTTCCGATAATCTACCAAACAGCATTATTTAAATGGCTTGAAAACGGTTAGCAATGTGCAACCCTTTACGATAAATACTCGCCTATTTTGGTTATCAAGTTGACCTTTTGAGTGTTGCTGCGTCGTTGATTGTAGCAACATTTTCGGACACCCGAGTGCCGATTAAATTAAGTCATCCATTTTTTGATGGGCAAAATTTGCTGCCACAATCGGTCAATCTACTGTGAGTCTAATTGTGTTCCCGTGATTTTATCCTCTATTCCACCTACTTAATCCCAACTATCGTGCATGAGAACCCGATTTTGATAAGATTGGATGACGTATGAACATCTCATATAGTTGGTTCTGGCTCTGTTCTATGAAAGTGAATGAAGGGAAACCACGCGGACCCTATCATAAAACGATTTGAAAAAGTGAACACGCACGGAGGAGAAATGGAGCCATAAGTTCAAACAAGTGTGGAGTGAAAGATCATTTGAAAATGTTCGATCAACTGGGTCCACAGCGAAGGGAGTATATTAGTAAAAGCCGCTCGGTCAAGAGCATTAATAGAGGTTAGCAAAAGGTGATAACGCAGCGTAAATAATATGCACAGCGAAAAACCTAGACGATAATCTGAATCCAAATATGAAATGCCACACCAATTCAGGTCTCAACAAAAGAAACTGAGCACCGAATGAGCTGGGTTAAATGAGTAAATGTCTTCTGATTTCGCTTGAACATTCATCCAATTTAACTTCGGGCAATGTGCTGGAGAGTCTGGTTATTTTTTAATGGATTTAGTTTATCGGTTTGCAATGATTTAGAAGCTTAGGTTGGTACATGATCACGTTAAAATTAGTTCAAATAGAGAAAGTTATGAAATGATCTGTCATTTTAGATGTAATAGGGCTTATGTTGAGGAAGCCCTACTCATAGCTTTCTCGTGGGGGATGTGCTTTCTCACCCAAGTGAGNAGAGGACGAAAAGTCAATATTCAGGACTGTGACCGGGTCGGTGAACAGCTGGCAGTTCACCTAGGGGAGTTGGCTAAAACCCTGTTTCCAACTCAGTCAATAACAAGCATACGAACCACACATACCTTCCTGTTCGTGGTAGTGGTCGCCTGCTCGATTGGGCATCAGGTGTATTGGGCACCTTGGTGTGCACCATATTTGCATTGCTCATGTGAGGCAAACCTTCAAGCTGGAAGCCAAGGACCTTACCACTGAACAACAGGTTTGACCGGCAATGCCTCAAATGAATTCGCTATACTAAATAAATGCAACACATTCTTGATTAATTCATATTTTTATCTGATTTATGTGGTTCCTGGAGAAGGGACTATTATACAGTCCTAGTGAGTCTCTATTTCCTGATTATCTTCCCTGACATAAATTACAAATCTGAACTACTGATTGAGAAACGTAGCTATCAAGATTGTTTCTTTTGATCCTTTTACTTCTCTTCAAACTGGTACCTACGCTGGTTGGGACATGTGCTACGCTTGTCACCAGATAGGTTACCACGGCGAGTGATGCTTGCCGAGGCAGGTAGCGGTTGGAAAAAAATGAAGGGGGTTCAAGCTAAGACCTGGGTATGAAAACCCTGACCAGAAGACTGGGTCACATAGGTCCCGTTAGGCTCCTTGGCTGGGGACCCATAGATCATGTTCACCGGTGGTTAGAGACACTGAGCGATATGACTGGGTGTCGCAAACAGTGGCACTCATGCATCTACTCATTATTATTGTAACTTCAGTCTATGAAAATGTGCTATCTTCCACTTGAACCTGCTCTCAACATTCTAATCATCATTCTTCTGTTTAATCCAAATGGGCAACGAAAAGACAGCAACCAAAGCGGCACACGAAAGTTCATGGTTAATGGTTGTAAGAACTGAACTGAACTGGTACCTACCTGAATGAGAAGTCGTCAAACCGGATTGGATGTAGCCTTCTCTGACACTCGTTTCCATGGGGGTATGAGTGAACTGTTCCCGTTTGTCTGAATCCGGCATAGTATTATAATTTGCCCGTTCATAACGATTACGGGACCAAGGATCTGTCAGAGTTTGTACGGATGGAAGCGTTTGCCCAGTTGGAATCGTTTTGTCATAGGTCGAGACCTCGGTTACCGGAACGGGTTGTGAGCCACAGCAACAACTGCTGCAGCAGCAGCAGCTATGGATGCTATTGCTGCTACCAGTATAGTAAGTGGGATGTGGATGAAATATTTCACTTCCACAATAACAAGTGGTACTTCTGGGCGCAAAATGGGTTTCTGTCGGAGTACTAGAATGAAAGAAAAGAAGAGCAGTTAATAACTACTGTAATATAACACAATCATTGTGAATCCATTTAGTTCGTGTGCCAATAGATATTGTCGATCATCAGGAAGAGGGATTGGGCCAATTGAACACATCCTCGCAGGAGAAGAAAGATGGAAGACTAGGGTGTCAGAGTGCGTGTTTTGAGCTCGCAGGCCACGATACAATGGGGAAACAGCCCATGGCACTCAGGCGCCATCACTTGATCTGACGAAGTCTAAGAATTCATTTTAGGGAAATCATAAATCGATCACTTCCTTGCATAATGTGATGTCAAGTAGCAAGATGAACCCCAAAGTTGATCACATCTATGGTTCTATTGTCGTGACAACTAAGCAGGTTTAAGGGAACCTGGACTTACAAACGCATCTTTTTGACCAGAGTGAAAAGTATTCAATTGTTCTAGGCTACAACTAACTGTCTACATTTGGTCTTCGGGGCTAATGACAACTACCGAGGACGAATAAAGTCGCTAGGCTGGACAGAAGTGATGTTATATTAATTCCAATTGTGTTGAATCCGGAGAAATAACCCCTGATGGGACTGTTGTGTGTACAGTTCAGAACAAGAGTACCACCTTCAAGTCAATTTATTTTCGCACCGCCTTGTTTCTGACAATAGATCGGAAATAATTTTAACCCGGCGAATATTCCTTCGTCCCAATGAAGCTTTTTGTTTATGAACCTGTTGAATAATGCATATTTGACGAAGCTGTGTGCCACAGAACTCTTCTATCAAAGTGGGGTGAATCGGAACAACTGTCTGCCTTTATGCTTATGAAAAAATGTTCTCCAGCGTTTGTCAGCACAGGATCTCCTTTTGTCTGAATGAATTAAGGAGGGAAATCAGACAACTCTTTGATATACAGAACACTATCAATTACCGATAACTTGTCAAACACGCTTGACAAAAACGTTTTCGATCATTATTTTGAATCAAATCTGTTTTCTTTTTCTTCAACACAATATTAATAACATTCTCTCGCATCTTGCCACCCATGGACAAAAAACGCGTTTCCAAATTATGAAGTTGGAAACCTTGATGAAAAGCCATATTTCACTGGATCTGAATGATACCATCCATCATATACATTGATCGAATTGTATGATCGTGCAGTTTATTGAATAGGATTTGGGTGGGGCACTTGTTAGGATGTCCTTCACACGTATGCCATAGAATACCACAACTATACTGTCACAGGAGCTGTACGCTACCAGGCTAGTCTCTAGTTCGTGGACTGGAGAGCGGTCATTTCAGGTGGCTCATCGAGAATGGGTGGCTATGCCGCTTCCCTATGGGTTGACTCAGTACCACGCCTGCCCTAATGGGGTCTTATGTGACGCGCCAATACCAATGTAGATTTATCAGATTAAGGTTTTCTTGAGTAGTGGGTTCATCCCTTTTTTGTTTGTGTAGAAAAAGGCCGTTACGGACAATCAACGGAGCTGTTTGAGGTCGTGACTTGTTTTCTTCTGGAAATCGTTCTATTCGTAATCTAAAACTATAAATGTCTGTAAAAAAACATTGACCACTTAAAGCCATCGTGGTACTGGGGGGACACAAATTCGTACCATATTCCAACCAATCTTCAAGGATCTCTTCTCAAAACCTACTTATTCTAACGTGGGAACATGTTTCCACTAAGTAGCTTGAGTATATCAATTGTACATCAATATTACGCTTCCATTGGTTAATCAGCTGTTTTGGGACACAACCCAAGGTCTCCACCATCAGGATGTTTTGCAACTGAGTAAAGTTTATGAAGTATATTTGATTTGAGTGGACAATTTTTTTCGTAAACAACAACAACAACGAGTGTAGACAAACATCGAACAAACTCACAGCATAGCCTAAAAAAGTCAATGATTCTAATATAACCATACTTACTGGTAATTATATCTGTTCTTGTGTCACAAACATCCTTTTCCATTGCTTCGTTTCTTTCGTACAAGAAGGCCTATGTGGATCCACAAGTGCATTGGTGAAGTAAGTTATTGTTACACTTAACGGGAATTCGCAGACACTGCCAGAGTCTTTGTATTGCTGTCTGTCGATCATGTAGCTTAGGGATAAAATAATTAACTCGGAAATTCGAGTCCCAGGAAAGGAAACAAAAGCAGTACGCA